TTTTTTTTTTCTCTGTTGTATTTCACTTACAGCTGACGTGTTTTTTGCAGTGTGGGGATTTAAGGTCACAGAGCAAAGGAGCTAAGGGTTGGAGACAGGAGAGTGGAGGTAATGTAGCAGAGAGCGATGAATCGTTGTGTGTTACTGCTGTTTATAGAACTCCTTCTCTGTGTTAGTCAGGACTCAGCACCCTCGGGGAACACTCTTCATCTCCCCCTCTGTCTGTGTCTACAGCTGCCATCTTTCTTCTGATTACTCCCCCACCCCCCGGTGTCTCTCTGTGACTGTTTTTTTTTTTTTCTTGCTGTCCAGGCAATCTATGTCCCCTCTTCCTTGTTCTTAGTTTCCTTCTCTTCCTCCTCTACTGCTGCTGCCTCGGCCTGTTCTGCTACAGCTCTCCTCTCCATTTTTTTCTTTCCCCAGTTGTTGCTTTATCTTTCAAGCCTCAGCAGCCTCGGAGAGGACACTGTGACTTGTGGCAGGGGCTACTTTTGCCCTGAGCCAGGGTATAATGGGAGTTAACTGCTGACTGTAAATTCAGTGGCAGGAGATGAGTGAGGGAGGGAGTGTTGAGGGGGGGGGGGTTGCACTGCTTATTGTGTTGGAAACGTAACTTATTGCACAAGAGACCGCTGTGTCCCCTGTTCTCGTCAATCTTGGCTTTTATTGGGAGATTGCGATAGATCAGGAGGACAATTTTTCTCAATGTCTTCCTCTCTTGCTTGTGTCCCCTAACTGCTGGTTTCAACCTCAGACACATTCCCTCTGTTCTCACTGCGGTGCCATTTCTGATTTTCTGCCTTTAGTTTCCTGCCAGCCCTGTCACTCTGACTGTGGTTACGCTTTAGTCCAATGCCGTGTGATTTTTGATACCTGATCACAAAGAGCGTCTCACTGTTTCAGGCAGCTGGACATCCACACTTAACCTGAAAATGCCTATAATATCTCCTATGAAATACTCTGTTTAGAGCACCTCCTTTCCGTATTTTAATGCAGCTCTCATTGTGGATTGCAGCCAAATGACATAGAATTTTAATCATAATGTAAGCCTGACCACTTCCAAGACTTGTTTCAAAGGTCTGATTGTAATCTGAGCAAAATCCATATTCAGTGGATCCAGGCGTATCACATTATGCGTCACCGCATATTCAGATGATAAAAATCACACAATTTAGCACAGTGTAACAGTAGCTGTTCTCTCTCCCTGTCCTCTTTCTTTCTCCTCCTCCCCTCCCTCCCTCCCTCCCTCTCTGGCCAGTGATTCTCTTCTATTGTCGCTTCTGTTCGCTCTCTCTTCTCTCTTGTGTATTAAGTCAGTCATTAGGCCTCTTTAAAATGACTGAAGGAAGGTTGGCACCCTCTGTATGGGGTCACCAAAGGCCCCTCCACCCTCCGTCACTGCACCCCACCTCCCTTGCTCTTCCCTGGCACCCCAGGCCGTGAAAGGTCAGCTGTCGTTGGGACTCATTACGAGGAACAGAAACTAGAACAGACAGGAAGAGAGAGTGTGTGTGTGTGTGTGTGTGTGTGTGTGTGTGTGTGTGTGTGTGGACCCAAGCAGCAATATACTGTAGCTCAAGGTAGATAGACCTTCTGTTTATTGCAAATAGCGATGGGCAAGGTTCTTTTTAGCGCGCTTTCTGACGTTCACAGAGGATTGTATTTCTCAGCACTGCTATGTAAGTTGATCAATGATCAATTTGTAATGATGTTTAGCTCCACAATTTCTCTTCAAACCTCCCATCCCCAAATAAACACATAAAACAGACTCTCTCACACATACTTTGATACTTAGGCCGTCTTGTGACGGGAGTCTTGAAGTCATTTTGGCGTTCACACTACGTGACTGATTGGTGACGCTGGTCTCCAAACCACGTTTTGTCAAGAAAACACACGTGAAATGTGAATCGGGAAATGAAGTAAACCTACACATGAAACAGCTGTTGTTTGTTATTATAAAGATAGAAATTATAAAGACAAAGAATATGGGTGAAAGAATGGATTAGCACATGTAGGTAGCAGGGATTGTCTGAGCTACAGAGCGAGCTGGAGGTGAGTAAAGAGTGTTTTGTGGTGAAAAAGTAGCTGCCTGTTCTGCCAGCGGCCTGCTCTCATTAGCTGGATGTGGATGTCGAGTCGGCCGACTCCTACAGATATTTGGCATGCTAGATATCTGGCAGGCGTCGCCGCTGTGTCAGAAATGTGTCGGGGAGCCGTTTTGATCCGTCGTTGAGTAGTTCACACATAACGACTGGCGACCGCCGATCAACCGCTGATTTACTCCCGATCACAGCCTGGCGGTCGCCGAGTGGCAAATCGGGCTAAAAATCGTGTAGTGTGAACTAGGCTTTAGTGCGGACAGCTGAAAACGGAGGACTTTGAAAACACTCACGTTTGGTTTCCTGATTGGGTCTTATCAGTCATGCAAAGCACACATCTACTGACAGTGTTTGTTTTGGTATTTTTATTAAATATTTTGTTCTGTGTAAATTACAGTTGTACTGGTCATGTCGCCGTATTTGCTTTGCGCCGATGTTTCCACCCCCACAGTTGCTTTTTATGTGAATGGCCATCTGATGTGCATTTTCAGTTTAATATAGACGTAGATCAATTCTGAAACGCAGATAAAACATTTGTGTGGATGGGGATTGTTTTTGTACAAAAACGGAGTGGTATGGATGTAGCTTTAATGTCCCCTCTGCTCCAGCCATGATACATGCAGCTGCTTGAGTGGCATTGACTCTTGCCCTTTTTCCCTCTCTCAAAGACACACACACACGCACCGTTGCAGAGCCAGTTCATCACCCTCACTGACACGGTGAATTTACAATGCTGTCCTTGACCACGTCTGAGCCCCCAGATCCACCTTCACTCGTCAGGAGACAGATTGGGTTGGCAGGTGGGGCCCCCGCCCAGGTCCACGTTTTTATTTGGACATAAAAAGTAATAAAAGAGAGGGATGATTGGTGCTTTTTACTGCTAATCATGTCCCTCTGTCCCAATTAAAAACTTGTTTGCATAAACCGCCAGCACAAACATGCTGCACCCACCGGGGCCACTGAGGTGTGTGTGTGTGCGTGTGTGTGTCGCTGCATTTGTGTGTGTGTGTGGGTACCTATCTTTGTGTCACTGCGTGAGCGCACGTGCATGTGTGAATGCGTGTGCATGTATATCCTGCTGTCAGCGAATTCTCCACAGAGATAACCTTGAAGGAGAGGCTGTGTGCTTAGCTCTGATACTGAATGCCAAGCTGCAGCAGGCTCAGCAGTTGCATGGCTAGAACTTTTCTGAGACCTTTAGGCACTTCTGCACGACTTAATCCCAAAGTTGCGACAAGGTGGGCTGCCTTCACTGCTCAAGTGGCCGCCCTCCTCAGATAGTTGATGCTTGTTGATGAAAGTGTGTGCCTCTTTGAATACACAGCCTTCTTTGAAAAGAGCTGACAAATATTGGATTTTTATACTCTCTCTCTTGGTAACTGTCCAAATTATACGTCCAAATTATATGTCTCCATTAGAGTCTGACATTGGCAGGCCGATTTTATTGGCCAAATTTGATACACTTCATCTGCACGGCTGAATTAACCTGTTAAGATTCTCTGGAGCCAAACAGTTGCTGTTGCACCCTTGCTGACCTCCTCCCTACCATGCCCCTGCGGAAATTTGCAATTAATCAGTTTTAACAAAACCAACTAACATGCAGTGAATCTGAGGCTTTTGGGACCCTTCAAGGAATGGGGCCAGGGGGCAGTTGCTTCTTTTGCCACAATAAAAAATTGCAGAACAGTGAACAGCAGCAATAAACGTTTTTTTATGTATGTTTGACATTTCCCAATTCAAGTTTAATGTAGTTTATGAGATGATGTTGCTACTGGTACATTTGTTTTGTCCAAGCATCCACAATCCCCATTGTGCTCATAAGCTATTGCATATTGAAATCAAACTTCTTAAATCAAACTGGTCATATGCTAGAATTCTGATTTGATATAAATTGGTATTATATGTATTTATTCATATTTACTTTGTAAATTGTGTTGTTCCAAATATACCAATATTTACTCGTACTATTTACTTCAACTGTAAAATATCTTGGACATATATTTATATCACAAAATATCTTTTTTTTTGTGTTTATGTATCTATTATCTATAATTGCCTCAGCAATCCTTTATCAGTCGGTCTCTAGTCTCTATTTCTCAAGTAGTGCTAAGTTATAGATGTACAGTCTTCTTTTTCTGTCGGTCGTAGCCAGGATTTAAAAAACACGGAGGGTACAGGAGCTGCCCTAGTGAAATGGAGAGGATTTGCGGGCATCTACAGGCTGACGTGTGTAAAGACTTTTTTTTTTCCTTTCCAAGTATCAAAAAGGATGTTTGTTTGCGTTCAGCTACCCAATTCCGCACTTCATCAGTGTTACGTAACGTGTTGGGCAGTAAAAACATTACTTTTCACAGTAAAGAGTAGTGTAACGGATTTCCAAAACAGTTATATTATTACACTTACTATTCCAAGTAACGCTGCGCTACTGAACGCACCTTTCTAACGTGAATGACGTGCTGCAGGTCATGGCACCGGACCTTATGTTGTTTGAGTCAGCTGTTAGCCAAAAAGCTAAATGAAGAATGGAGAATGAGGAAGAGAGGCGTTCTTTCCACAGTTGTAAGTAGCTACTGACATTATTGTGTCACAATCTAAGATGCAAAGAACATTGTCCGTTGTAAACTTTATGGGACCAGCAAAAAGCTTTCAACCGCGAACAATTCTACATTGAATTTATTGAAGCATCTGCTAAAGCAGCACAGCAACTGAAACTTACAGAAATAAACTCCGGCCGCTACTGCCAGTGATGCTTGGACTCATGGGGAGAGTGGTGTTAGGCTAAGCAACGTTTTATAAAATCACTGAATATTGCTCTTACAGCCTAAATAGCCTACATGTGCAGAAAAACAGTAGCCTAGTTCACGTTATAAATTCATTTCCCCCGTTTTTCGGCTTTTTCAGACTGCTTGGATCCGCAGGTCGCTCTGCGCCCCTCATAATTCAACACAGGCAGACAAGAGCTCCGGGAGTCAACGCCAGGCGCTCCATGGGTGGTAACCATAGCAACGGCTTCTGCGTACTACTGGGCTCGATCCCGTGAAGCTGCCGCGGTTGTTCTCGGAGTCATTTCTCAGGTCGTTCAAATATCAGAGTTGAAGTGTCTTGAACTTTTTCCTGCAGTTTATCAATAGACAAGAGACTGATCTGGCTGTTTGATCGGAGTGTGAATGTTAGTTTCTGTTTGAGCACTTAGGCTCAGTGTATGAATGTGTGTGAATGTGATGTAGTGTAAAAGAGCTTTGAGTGGTCGAAAAGACTAGAAAGGCGCTATACAAATACGGAGCATTTACATTTAAAAATAATCTATTAACTTTAACTGAACTAATTTGAAAGTTAGTTGTTATATTATTTAGTTATTATTATTATGTTGCATGTTGCCCATTTAGCTGTTGAAGTTTGAGGAAGATATAAATATATTTAAATTAGTTATTGTCATGGACATATTATAATTATTAATTATAATAACATCAACTATTAATTATTAATACTTTTTATTGTGGAGAGGTGGCAATGGATTAGACACACATGTTATTAAGTTATTGTCATAGGTCCTGCTTTACCATCCATATGCTATACTAGAGCCACCACCAGTTTGATTGTGGTGTGGGGGGGGTTCTCCGTATAATGTCCTGCTTTTTTGTCCTTTGCCAATCACATGCCTGATATATCTTTCTTGTGTTGTTTCCTGTAAGTATTAGCTTCCTACATGATGGTCTGAATTCTTCACTCTGCCAGACGTATAATTCTGGTGGAGAAACACTAAATCCCTCCATTTATTTCAGTTAAGATAATTGTTTTGCCTAAAAATATTTAAGAACATTGACTCTAAAAAATATCTCGCCTACTTCACAGAGCATTAAAACCCCCAAATTCCCATAAACAATTCAGCACATGACCCTGGTGTAATCTGCGTTTGTTACGAGCCTTTCTGTGCGTATGCATTAAAACCCACTTCAATTTCCTTGGGGCTTTATGCCCTTTACTCTCCCAGGTCGCCATCTATTTGTTTTCTTTTCTAGAAAAGTCCTGTCCCCACGCCAGGCTTTCTCTCTGCCATTTAGCCTAGTTAATGGACTCTTCTACACTCAGCTGAGAAATGCTGTGAAGTAAACAGCAGCTCATGAAATATTCAGTACTCTCCTGTATGTGTGTGAGGGTGTATGTCTGTGTATGCGTGTGCAATCAGGCATACCTGACTAGGCCGGGTGACTCCCGCACACCCACTCGTGGGCACACACGTGCATATAAAATGCCAGGGCGCCCCAAAAAAGCCAAGGGTGTCTACGCATCTTGGCTCTGAGTCAACAGAGAAGCGAAATGGAGCACTGGGAGTGGGAGCACTCTGCTGCTGGATGAGTCAGACGCTTGCTGATATTCATATTGATGAGGGGGGGGGGAAATCACAGTGTAACTCTCAAAATTTAATCGTAATGTTTTTGTTGCAAATGGCAGGAAACAGGGGAGCAAACATTTCAGGTTACAATCACTCTTCCTGAATCATTAGTGTTGTTTTCCCCTTTTTGCTGCTGCTTTTTGGAATGAATACATTATGATCCCCTGATTCTTTTGGGGTCTTTTTCTGTCTTTGTTGGATCCAGTACTATGAAGGTTCTCTTTCTTACATTTTGAAATGTGTCAACCCTGTGTTCCCGACACTAGTATGATCCATCCCTTGGGAACTGGAGTAAAGGCTGAAAGGTCACCGGATTAAACCTCCTGACCAACTGAGAAAATAGCCGGACAAGATGCTCAGTAGGAAACTTTGATAGGAAACTTTGGCTATAAAGAAGGCTTTTTCCTGAAGAACAGCTTGTTCAGCAAACCGTCCCTGGATAAAAAATAGTTGCCAGAGTTGGAGTTGATATTTCTCTTGCTGCATTTCTGTACTCCAAACACCTGCAAGCTGCCCCCTCTGTTGTGCTCATAAGCGGATACTGAGAATCAAACTTGTCATATGCTGGGTTGGACAATCTAAAATTTGTCATCTGTCAAATAGATATTTCTGCATCACAGCTATAGATGTTTCATTTTTTTGCCATTGGAATCTTTTAATGCTGCATTGCATTTTTCCCTGATCTCCTCCTGCTACCTGTCTGTTTTCTAGACATAGGCTTCATATCTCTGCCACCACGCTGCACGCCATAACATGTCCCACATCTTGCTGCATATACCCCTTAGGGTTGCCCCTAGCAACACACACCAATACACTCTCCTGCTCCAACATAGATGAGAAGCGACATATATATGGTATAGATGACGCTTCCTTGCAGTTGTCCCCGAGCTGCAGTAGTTATGTTGATGTAATAGAAGCCGCCCTATGCCGAGCTCCATGCATAATTCAGCAGTGGCCCTCATCGCGGTGCTTATTGCCTGGAGACCGGAGTGTGCTGATTGATGACCTCTGCTGTGGCCTGAGTTATTTTGAAGATTCACCAGCAGGACTGAAAACAGGTCATGTCTGCTGACCCCTCAGGCTCTTGCATGTTGCCGGATCACGGGGGCGTTTTGTGACAGTGGTGACAATCCGCCCCACAGTGCACATGTACCGCGCCAGCCTTTACCGGCCGAGCGCCCTCCCCCCACCCCACAACACACTGGTTGCCATGACAACAAGGTGAAGGGCATTGCGGGAGAATGATGGTGTTTGAAACATAAGGTCAAAAGGAAGATTTGGGAGCGAATGTGTAGGTGGAGCAGAAAAGAAGCTCAGACAGTTTATGAACAGCATCGGCCCACTTGCTCCTTCCACTTATAAAGTAAGAGGGCTTCAAAAAGGAGCAGCGACATATTTCATTTTGTCTAGAGTAGTTTCCGCTTTACTTGGAGGATGAGGGAGGATGGGCTTGGTGGAAGAAAGCGGAATAAAAAAGAGGCACTATATGACAAACTTCTTAAAAATCCCACTGTCAGCATATCTGTCACACAGTCCAGCTTCGAAATGATTGTGCCACAGCAGGGGACTTTTCTTTATTTATTTAACTGACATTATTATAATTTCCATTATTTATGTAGCCGCCTGTTCATGGCAACTCGAGGGCAGATGTGAGAGGTTTGAGAAAATGCAAAAAATCTTAGCACTCTGCTATATCTCTGGAATATTACACTGCCAGATCTTCATCAGTGGAATAAATTGTAGAAGGGTATCATTTTCTATTTAATCAGGCCACATTCTGCTGACACAGGACTCAATAAATGTCTCCTCATTCTTTTACTTCTAAAACAAAGCACAACACCATCTATCAAAAGAGGGCCTGTGAATGTGTTTGTCCTCTGTTTTGCCATTTCATCACAACCAAGGCTAAGCTGAAAGGCATGTTGAAAAGATACCAAAAAACCTTCTTCACTCATTTTCTGAAGCCATTGACTGGATTTGATAATTGTCAAAATGTGCAGTTAGTAAAGATGGCTTTGATTTTAGAACGGAATTACCAATAATCTTTCAGGTTTTTCACCCTCGGAAGTGTAGGATATCTCTTTATTGATTATAGGGTGCTTCCAGTATGGAATTTTGGCTTTTGATCTAACCTCTATTCACTGGGTGCTCCCAGTAACGTGACCAGATTAGCTCACACTGTTTTATAACCTAGAAGCAAACATTTGCATTTACCATTAACTATTAATAAGAAGTGTAACAACTTCACCAAAATTGTGAGGTCAGCAGACTCCACTGCCATTTCCAACAATAAAGTACCCACATTTATGAACTTTAGTGACAGATTTTTATCTGATTATGCTGATTGTCTTTCTTTTGATTTGTAAAATGATGTTAGCTTTGGATTTTAAGGCTACTGAAGGGGCACTCAAAAGTTGGAGGACTTCCATGAGACAAATCTGGAAAAAAAAGTATAGTCAAAATCAAAGCAGCAGGGGGTGGTGACTTTAAGTCTCTAGTGTGAGTGCAGATTCACAAAAACTGGATCCTACAGTTCCCACAATGCAACTCCATAGAGTTTTTCAGTAGACCTTCCCTGTCTATTAAATGCCCTCATCTTCCAGTGCCATGACATCACTGTTTTGAGAATAAAGTGAGCCAGGTTCAGGTGTGATGAACGAGTTTCAGAGACTGGTGACAGCAGTACCAGCATACAGCATCATGTGAACACATGCAATACCAACTCCAAACCTGAAGAATACTTCCTGGCTGGGGATTGTTATCCTTCCTATATCTACAGGGATTCATGATTTAAGTATCCAAAAAGGTTATTGTTCACCCCTCTAAACATGTATGAATATTCTATTGGATATTGGTTCAAGTCCAGACACGTTCCATACTTTCAGCATAGAACTAGTCAGTCTGTCTGTAATGAAACAAAATAATCTCAATCTTGGGTTACCTAACAAATGGATAACTGTGCATCATTATCAAGGCAGCTGTGTCAGTCAGTCAACCAAGCATGCAGAGAGGAGAGACAGAGTCTGACCTACTGTTTTGAAGAGTCCCTGGCTGTTACCTTTGGCATACTTTTAACTAAGCAATTGACCTTATCGTAGCCTGTGTTATAGTAGCCCTAAATTTCTTCACAATCACCAGGATTATTTTGTCAGACTTGAGAAAGATTCCTCTAAGACCACAGAAGAAATGATTGCTTCTGTGTTATCTGGACTGATATCGCTGACTAGCTAGTATAAACGGTAGGTCATTAACTGCAGGGAATTCATGTTCATTTCCCCAAAGTTTTCTTAAGATACTATATAACTAGCTTAGCTTGACTTTCATATATATAAGCAGAACGACTAACTGGAACTGTTATCTCAACATTTTTCCATATCCTATTTGGCAGCAGTTGCCTGCAGTTTTATATTTATCAGTTTTAGTCTACTGAACACAAACCTCATTATGGCTCCTCAAACATAGTGACAAGGGTTTTTTTTCAGCCTGCCTTTTAGTAAAGTCCCAGTCGTGCATTAGCTGGTGTAGTGCTACCCTCTCGCTGCTCTTATTTTCCATAATAAAACACAGCTCAGCACATCCTTGTGGTGCATGCAAAAAAGAGGAGCCACCCTTGTGTCAGCCTAGGTTAGTTACAACAGGAGCACTGGCAAGGAATCAGGGATGAAAATTTGCACCTCGTTGTTTCAGTTGTCAGTGTCTCAGCTGCTGCATTCTGGGCCGTTTGCACCAACGAAGCATGAGCAGTCTCTATGGTATTACAGCATGGCACCATTTATATCCTACATATCAACTATGATGCCATGGTAAACATGATGAGCTACTGTTAACCTACTTCTGTGCTGCCAGGCGAACCCCAACACACACACACACACACACACTTAAATGTTGTACACACACACACACACCTGCCAGTCTTTATCCCATCACACGACTAGTCTCAGTTGCGTGGCAGGGCTTTGCTGGGGAGTTGACAGTGAAGGTTGCTTCATAAACCCGGCACGTGTCCATCTGCGTCTCCCCCTGCTGCTTTGGGATGAAGGGAAGTGATGATCTAGGGATTTTTCTTTCCCTTTGCTCCATTGAGCAGCACTGTATCACCTTGACAATGTTACATTCTATCACAGAGGCTACGGGGATGCAGCGGGCACTCGAGATGGAGGAAAATGCTTGGGGAGAACTTAGTGGGATTTATCCGTCTCTAAGCTAAATCCATTAAATGTTGAGCGAGGGAGAATGTGGTGGAAGTGGGTTTTGGTAGGCTGTGGTTGAGGATGAGGTATGATGAAACAAAAGGTTTGTTCTTGGTTGTGTGAGTGTGTGTATGTGTGTGTGTGTGTGTGTGTGTGTGTGTGTGTGTAATGTGTGTAATGTGCAAGCACACAGAACGTGGACAGTAGAACATCCCTGTCCTGCTTCGACAGCAATGCAGTATAGCTCAGGGACTGCACACCACTATGTAAATGCAAATTGCAGTGTCATGCTGATCAATCCTGTGGGCTGCTGAGACAGGGTTATGTCGGGACCAGTCTGCAGCAGGGCTGTATCTGTCGGTTTGTCTCTGTTTCCGTATGGCTATATGAGACATGCCACGCTATATGTGGCATGTCTCATGCTTTGCTCTCCTATTCAGAAGTGTTTGTCTGTCAAGCTGGCCTGCTGGCCCAGCTCTCAAATGGTTTTAATTTACAAAACAAAACTTTGGGCTTAGCATAACTAACTACTGTGTCTTTCTTTGTTCACAGGACACAACTCTAATAAAAGAATCCTGTGGGACAGGAAGGAAACAGCAAGACTGTGTGGGACAAGGTGGTCAACACGGAGCTGGGTGGAGGGGAGAAGACACCAATCGGGCTGACAAAACGCAGACTTCTGAGCATGCTAGCCATGCTTTAGCACACACAGGAAAGGCTGGTTGATTGCTGGAGAAACACTCGCTGCCTTTTCTTAAACATTCCTGAGCCACAAGTGCACGCATCTCCCTGTCATCTGTAATTCACTGTACACCATCCCTGCAAAGATGCCAATGCCAAGATTGGCGCTGTGGCACTTGTGGTGACGAGGGCACAGAGCGTGTGGGCACATCCGGCAGGCAAGCCGGTGGGTCGGTGGGTGTAAAGGCACACCAAGAGGCATTTTTGGGTGGGTGGGGTTGAAACATGCGGCCCTGGGCGGGTTCATGGCGTTGGATTACCCTGGTGCTGTTGGCCTGGGGCACGCTCCTCTTCTACATCGGCGGTCACTTGGTGAGGGACAGCGATCACCCGGAGCGGTCCAGCCGGGAGCTCTCCAAGATCCTGGCCAAGCTAGAGCGGCTCAAGCAGCAGAATGAAGACCTGCGGCGCATGGCCGAATCGCTCAGGTAACAACACGCTAGATGTTTTTAGAAATGATCTGCTTGATTGTTAACAACATTGTTTCTTCAACTTCAAGTGTTAACTATAAGAATTACAGAATGTCAAAATATGGTTATGCCTAGCATAAACCTTACCATCTCAGTTCACAATTTACCTATCTTGCAATGTAAACGAAAGTAAAAAAAAACAACTTATGTTTCTGCTCCAAAATGTAATGGGTTCTTCCATGGCTCATGCTACACGCTTCCAACAAGTTTCATGATTATCGGGCCAGTACTTTTTCTGTAATCCCGCTGACAGACAGACAAACAGACAAACAAACAAACAAACAAACAAACAAACATAGGGCACCGAAAACATAACCTTTTTGGCGGAGATAATAATGAAAGTGTGACACAACACCGGTAATGCAGAGGATAAACTGTATAAGTGCTCTCGGTTTCCATTACTGGTGATTAAACAGAGAAGCCAAATTGAGCAGAGTGGTAAATGCAACAGAGTACAGGCAGCCAGAAACCAAAGTGGCTTAATCATCAACCACTGAGGTAACTCAGTCAGTACAGAAATAATAGAGTCTGGCCTATAGATGTCAAGGAGTGAAAAGACAAACAGTACCTGCATGCAGAAAATCAGACACCTGGATACTATACATATACAAGGATATAAATGACCAGGTTTCTCCTTCCTCTTTTAAACATCATCTCCCAAATATGATCAAAACTAAGATAAGACAAAAAATTGGGATATTAGTGTTTAAGGAAACATACTTAGGTAAGCAGGGTGTTTTAGAAATGAACCTCATCGCCATGTTCCTTTTCCTTTTATAGTGTACAGCTCAACATGTGCTTATCTTTGGCTTTGGTAAGAAAGCATTAGCTTTTCTGAACATCTGCATGAGTGAAGTAAAATAGTTTTTGCAGTTTTGATCTGTATTTGCAGATCTTCCTAAGGCCAGTTGATGTTACACCGAAGTTCTTTGGTGAAATCCTTTCCCAGAGTTTTGTCTTTACTGCATCTGTGGATCTGAACTTGTGCTTAGTTGAGCAATCAAATGTAATGCACCCCTTTTGCTTGCCTGGTCAGTATACTTTTGTTTTTAAAATTAAAAGAAAAAACAACTATGGTGCAATGCATCGTTCTCATAAGTTTCTTCAAAGTCCTGCAATTAAGTACAGGCTCTAGCTCCCTGCTAGTCCAATCAGAGTAATTTTACAAATGCCAGAATGTGGCAATAAGATGTTGCTTTAGTTTTGTGACAGTTTAATCAGCATCTAATTAAATCAGCATCTTGTGCCGCATACAACCAAACAAAGTTTCATCAAAAGCTGATCAGTGGTGTCTAAGATGCTGTGTGTGATAGACAAATGGTTAGACTGTCACACACCTCACCAGATTTCATTATGTTCTTTTGGTTGACAATAGCACATTGTACGAGCCCATTAACCACACAGCATCATTCACACATTCAAGCAATGTGTAATACAGAGACAGATGGTTCTGCTCTTATCTCCGCACGCCGTCAGTGTCTGTCTTTCCACATAAACACTGAGTCTGAATATGGTTGTGTGAGTCTGAGTGTGCATGCATGTGAAGGGAATGCAGTAGCGTGTCCTGGTGAGCGCCATATTAACAGGGAACTCGAGCTTCAGATGTTGCCATTGCTACTCCTCTTGTGATACTCTGATTCACTTTGATGCAGGGCCCTCATCAGTGCACACAAACATAAAAAAACACACGCGCACACGTTGCTTCAGACAGCTGGTCCCTGATTAAATCCCTTGCTTTTGTAATTATTCAAAATTGGCTCGAAAACAAAGGTGGAATTCATGGCATAAAAAACAAGTGCAGCTTTCAGTCGACTAGTGTCCAGATGGGTCCCCGACACACTGCACGCTTGTTGCTTGTTATTGAGTTCGGTTGTTGATCTGGGACCGAGGCCTCCACAGTTGTTTACTGGGGCAGCGCTACAGTGCCTTCTCAAGTCCCTCTAAGCTTCGGCTAAGTAGCACGCCAAAAGCAGGCAACTGGCTTGCTGGGGTTAAGCTATATGAGCTATCGACAGAGACGGGTTGGTTTGTCCTGTTCAATTCTGTGTCTTTCTGCGTGTGTGTGTGTGTGTGTGTGTGTGTGTGTGTGTGTACGCAGTGGTCAGATACAGGCCCATGAGAGAACTCCAGCACCGCCTCATCCTGTAGTGTCTCTTATCCTTGTATTAGAGCCCTAATAGACGCAAAGAGGCTGTTAGTGAGCTGCCCATCATTGCTGCTACAGCCCCTCCCTTCTTTGTCCATCACCTCATCCCATTCCTTGCTTCACTCCTTCCTCACCCCCCCCCCCCCCCCCCCCCCTCCTCCTCCTCCTCCTCCTCCTCCTCCTCATTCCACTACCAAACTGCTGACAGAGGCATGGCGCCGAGCCAGACTCCAGCCGGCAGGTTGTCACAGACTGACTGACTATGTAACAACTCACTAGCTCAACGCATGCCTAACCCAATCCACTGACTTACTCGTTTTGCAGATTTGAACTGAGAATATGAAATCTCTGAATGTTGTACAAGGACCGGAACCAGTTATTTGCAAGCATCCCACTGACATTGGATAATAAAGAAAGTTTCATACAAAGCACCTAACCTTCACATTAGTTCATTAATTTTTTATGAGTGGCCTCAGAGAGATTAAACCCACAAAACTGACATTATCACACCTTTGTGTTGAGGTGTTGTGCAGCAGAAACCCACTGCGTTGAGACTGATTTATAGTTAGAGTTGGATTTAACTTGGTTAGTGCCATCACACCACAGCAGCACTAGATGGATGTGTAATGCATTATTGGGCAGTGTTGTGAGTGAGTGCATTTATTACCTACCTGAAGGGATCTTGTTTACATTGTTCATTCGCATTGTAATAGAGAGTGATAGTCATGCTGGAGCAGTTTGCAAGGAATATTGATTTTCTTGATCACAAATTGCAAGTTTGTGCAGCATCACTGGGAAGCTGAAGATACTTAGTTATTCAGCCTGCTCAAGGGACTTTGTACACTCACACATTTTTTTGACCTCTCCATTATTTTTTAGAATGGTCAATTGTCTTGTGAAATTAATCAATCTATCTATCAACACTCATATTCAAATTAGTATCACCTGGCTGGCCTACAGATTCAGTCCAGTGATTCAGGTCATTCTTGAGTGATTTGAGTGACAGGCAGCTTGCCAACCTACCAATCACCCAGCAGCATTAATGAGAGGTGAGCACGAGGTCGAGTTGCTCAGTCTGTCTGGCTCCGCCCTCTCTGCAGCTGTCAGTCACCTCGGGCGCGAAGCCACGGCCCCTGCAGAGACAATGACATGCGGCAGCCTGATGGTGTGACATCGGAAGGGAGCGAGGGGTGAGAGTGACAGCTGGGCTGAGCGATGAGGACCTGATCGATCCTCTAGGCATGCCAACAGAGGCATGGAGGCAGGAGGGGGCGATGCAGAGGAGGCGAACAGGAGTGGAGCGTGATGGATGGTGTGAGGACTGCACTAAGTAAAGAGCAGCAAAGAGGAAATGGAAAATGAGGACTGAGGGGGAACAGTTGCAGAGTCACTAAAACCTTTTCTACGCATACTTTTTACATACGTTTTGCATATGGGTCCCACTTCCACCTATGTAAACAGACAGTGAGGGGATTAATTTATCTTGTTATGACCTGTCCATCGCTCAGGCCCGGCAAGCGATGGTCTGCTACTGCACACACTAGCCCTATTGTTGGAGCTGTCTGTGATCAGGACGTCTCTGTCAAGTAGAGCTCAGAGCGAATGCTGGCTTGCTCTAGATGTACCGAGGCGTTGAAGAATGCGAAGCAAGAATGCACCATTCAGAATCACTTTACTTGGAATTATACTGTTTAAGCCGTTGAACTTAACACAGATACAGCAAAGAAAGGATACTTAGAGACAAGATCAACTGATTCGACACAATGCAGTATTCGCACAAAACAGCAGATACACACATCTGCTGTAGTACATACAGGCTTAAATTAAGTGCCAAATGTGGTTAAATTTTAGGTTTGGCGGAAAAATAAATCGGGGTCACCGGAAAATAATTTAGAATCATATATATGAATATCAGCTGTCGCAAAGTATAAATATCAGAAGACTGTAGCCTGTAACATCAACAGGATAAACAGCAGGGCTACAGCTACGTACTGACACTCCCCCACAGACACACACACACACACACACACCTGAGAGCCTCTTATCCTCACTGAGCTGCTAGCTCAGCTACCAGTGGTAGCAGGTTTTCATGGTAATACCAGACTTTTCCACTCAGATGTAGTTTTCTTTTTTCCCACTGGCACATTCCTGTGGTTTACTAGCTTGACTTATTGGAGTCAAGTGGTTTTGTGTAACACAGTGTGTGTTCCCGGAAAGGCTGTGACATGTCAGTCCAGTCTTTGACACATTACAGTGTAGCGATGCACACGTTTGCACATGTATATACACATCCAGAGCATAGGAAGATTGGATCAAAGTTAATTTTTTATGTAAAGAAAAATCGCTGTCATGTAGCCTGCTTTCATCTACACCTCCCAGAACACTTTACATCTCCATCCATATGTATGGCTTCCCAGGTCAGCACATATGTTTTCTTTTGATGTCAACCAGAGTATATTAAACCTTACTACAGAAATATGTGTGCGCCTTCAGTGCCACCCAGGCCCCCACCGTTTAAACTGCTTCGCCCCAGCTCTGATCACCCTGTGAACTGCATGGTTACCGGGTGAAGGGGCAGGAGCCAGTGGAGCGACAGCTGGGGCAGCATTTGAGAGGAAACTGGGTTGCATGCTGAACCTCACCAGCTTTCCGGCTCAGTGCTTAGTGCCGGTGGGGCTCATCACCCCCTGCTTTCATAGCTTGTCTTTCACTCCGCAGTACCCCTCCCAACTCCCCCCCCCTTTTCCGCCCCGCCTCCCTCGAGTCAGGTTTTTCTCATCTATTACCTCTGCTGTATCGTTTGATTAAGACGCTGTTGAATCCAGCTGCCTCGTCTAGTCTCCGCTTCAGGTCTTCTAGAGATACTGTCAGGGATCATTTGTGTATTTGTGTACGGTGTTTGCCTCCTTCCTGTGTGTATCTGTCTATGGGTTTTGATACCGCTGAGTGTTTGGATTTACTTTATATCTACGTATTTTGGTTGGGGATGCTTGTGTTTTGCCTGCACCAGCATTGTGTCTCAGCAGTTTATGTCTCTTTGGAGCATGTTAGCTAACCTCTGTACCACGTCTCTACTCATTTGCCTTGTGCTGGTCTGGCCTATTTCTTCCACCTTGTTCAAGGAGATATAATGTTTCTCTATGTTACAGCTTTAGCAGCTCTTAAACCCCCTGGGAAATTATGTCACTTAGGAAATAGTCCTACTTCCTGTACAATGAAGTGTAACCAGTAGGTTAGGGTGTGGCCTTTGGGAGATCCTGTTGAATACCGTATGTGAATACAGTGAGGACAGACAGTAGAGTTGATATTGGAAAGGAAATATACCAGGGTCTTGTTTCAAAAGATCCGTGTCAGGCTGAAATGGGCACACCACAGGTTTCGCAGGAAAAAGAAGTGTGGATTTAAGACAAACATCTAAATACCTGTGATGCCACAAAGGTATGGAAAGGTTTATCCTTGTCCATCACACGGTTACATAGTGTAGGAGTAAAAATATCCTCCCTTTTGTCTTTGCTTATTTCCATGGCTTTGAAGCACAATGCTCAGTTAGTGCTCAGTGAAGTGGGAGGCCTGGGCTTTCTCAGGGGCCGAGGCTTGAACAGTGAAGGGGGAGTTGTGCAGCAAGAAGGGCTGTTGCAACTTTAAACGTCTCATCTTTATGCCTGCCAGCGACTGATGTTCCTCATTCAGGGAGCAAATTGAGTTTGCATGCCTTGATGACTCATTAACATGGCCTTTGCAGCACTTCACCAATGCCCCTGTGCATTCAAATATATTCCATTTTTTAATAGTTTTATGTAGAGGAATTGATAATGTATAATGTCAGTGGCTGTTCTTTTTAGTCTCCTTGGCTGATTTGAACTGTGTTCTGAGCATGTCGGAGTGCTCATTTGTATCTTCATTACATGCATGCATTAGCCTAGTTACTCATAGTTCATCGACACAGAGCGGTGAACATACGTATTTATATCCAATTGATATCTGTATCAGGATGCCACAATTGACCGAAACGCCGAAAATGTAAAATTTGACACACAGATGCTCTTGAAATAGTTTATTACATTGATAAGGAATACATTAAATGGACTGAATGGATGTCCAAACATAATTTCAACTATAATGAGCAATTAGGCTTTGCAAGATTATCCATAAATTTTCTACGCCTTTTAAGTTTGATGCTTTAGAGCACAGATCTCAGTCATGCATCCTCTCATTTTATCCAGAAAAGTCACAAGACACCGCTACAGAAACCATGTAGCTTAGTTGTGATTTCAATGGCTAAAACTGTGTAACGGAATGATTAGTTGTTTGTGACGTATGTACATATTTAGTTTGACAATGGATCTTTTTAGTTTTCCATCATACAATAAGAACAGGCCACCATGACCACTCCTGCACCAATCAGCATAGGGGATTTCCAGTGCTGCACAGTTAGACATTTATGGTTAATCTATTTACAGCACTCGAATAGCTTTGATGTAGTTGTTAAGTTAGTTTTATTTAAGTTTTGACTTGTGTGTATTTCCCTCCACTAAATTAAATCTGTACTATTGAGTTAAAATGTTGGCCCATTACATTACAGCAGGCGGTCATTCTTAGAGCCATCAACCAAAGTCAAGGGAGAAGAGTAATAGTATTTTCTTAATTTTTAAGTAGTTTTTAAATCAAAGTCACAAAGAAATTGCATTTAATTGCCACTTGTCTCCATAATTTGATTTTCAGTCTTAACTAGTCACAGGATATTGAATATAATGCTTGCATTTGTTGTTCAGTAGTCGTTAGGCTGGACCAATCAAACCTGGAAAATTATTCAGTACTTTCTTAAGAAATAATCTTGAGAAAAATAAAATAAATAAACCGAGATATGGCTCCAGGAGGCTCCACTGTGGTGTCTCAGTAAATGAAATAGAATTTTCATTGGTGAGCACTAAAAGATGTCAGCCATCACAGCTTAGTTTTCACCGCAGCTTTCAAGTCTTGAGACATCCAAATGAGGATCGAGTCACCCAAGTAAGATGCAGTACAGACTAAGCAGTTGTTGGGTAATAAAACATTCTCACTGCTTCTCTCCTGCACCTCGTTAATGACTATTAAAACCAAGTGTTGTGGATATAAAATGAAGCAGAATTCTGCAAATGTGTGGCCTCCATTAATTCTTGACATATTTACTAGGAAGCAGATTTTGGTTTTTCACAATATTTGCAAAAGCCACCATGTTTTTACAGATTAAAAATCATGAGCAAAGAATAATAACAGCAAAGCAAGCAGTGTGTATATCCAGGCAGGTGTAGGAATGGTTGAAGTCTAAGTGAAGGAGAAAACTGTCAATGATCTAATGTGGTGTCTGTCTTAATTTTATTTATTCATGGGAGTCCAAAATGAGTGAAACAGAAATTTTGAGAAGAGAAACAGTGTTTGCTTGCGTCTGAACTCTGTCCTCTTGTCTTGGTTTGTATTGGAAATCATGTGTAACATTTTTTTTACAAGTGATCCAGTAATTTTACATCAAGTTAGTGCTGAAGCAGTTGTCTAGTCAGCGATGGACATCAATTTTAAAGATTGGCTCTGTTTCATCATTTTAAGGAAAAATGCCAAACAGCTGCTCAAATCTGAGGATTTGCTGTTTCACTCTGTTATAGGACACTGTAAATTTGATATTAGTAATAAGCAACTTGGGTTGTGGAAACTTATAAGCATGATTTGTCAGATTTGTTTTATTTAATGAAAATAATTATTGCTTGCAACACTATACTACACAATGCAATTTTACTGAATATTTTTTAACATTAGATTTTTGTTTGTTTACTGGAAGTTTTACAATTACTGCAGAGTATTTCTGCAGAGTAGGGAATATTTGCTCTCCCTTCCTTCTATCGATGTGCACATGCTCCCTCGCTCGCCCATCACATCCTCTCCTTGTGTCTTTCACCCCCAGGATACCAGAGGGTCAGGCAGAAGCCGGGTCCTTGGCTGCAGGGAGGCTGCGCTCCCTGGAGGACCAGCTAACCAGAGCCAAACAGAAGATCCACAGCTTCCAGAAACTCACTGGAGACGGTAAGTGGGACAGGACTGTCTGAAAGGTTGCAGGGAAGGATTTGGCACAGAGCTTGGAAATATGAAAGGATTGATTTTGAAGGTGCGAGGGTTGACTATATATGGTATAAAACTAGTCAAAGGCTCTTGTGGGATTTCGCCTGCAGCGAGAGTCTCAGTCTAGTCCAGTGTTAAACCTGCTGTAGCTTAGCAGCGATGATGGCAGAGCCACGCTGTCGGATGGGCAGGGTTATGTGTGTATTTGCCACGCTAAGCAGTGGTCAGAGGGGCAGGAAAGCTGTCAGTTGAGTGGGGAAACTTGTGAATGAAGTGGAAACAGTGTGAATGCCCCAATGGCAGAGCGAGAGAGAGGAGAGAAAAGAGACAGACAGAGAGAAAATAAAGAAGGACATGTGAGCGTGGAGGGCAGCATGGGGTCAGCCTTTCCATCTTGCCGCAGGGGAAGAAAAAGCTAAAAATACCCTCCAGCTTTTTTCCACCACAGGAGGGAGTAAAAAAGAAGAGAGAGTGCGAGATAGAAAGGGGGAAAAAAAAAACATTTCCCTCTCCGCCACCAACTCCTTCTCCTCCTGCTTGAGGCTGTCCTTCCCTTTGCTTGATTTTTTATTTTTTTTTGTTTCTTTTCCGTAGAAACCAGAGCAGGCAGCTGTGTTATCCATGTGAGTTACACCATATTGTTTCGCTCAGATGGTGTATAGAGTTCCTTCCTGTAGTTAGAACTGTGTGAGAAAACCCATGAGAGAGGGAGAGAGAGAGAGAGCCACGAGGCACAAAAACAGTGACCAAGTGCTCCTTAATGAGGTCAAAGCATGCAAGCAAGTATGGAAGCGGAATATTTTAATGGCTTTAATCCAAAACCTTGCTTTATGCCATTAGCCTTTTTAGGCTCACATAATCTAATGCTCAAACCTTCCTAAATACCTCTGGGCGTCCTTTCCTACCTTGTTCCTTCCAGCTGTATACCCTCAGAGGTGCTTTGAAGTTAACGTTATCAATTCATTGTTTTAGATCAAACGTGTGCCTCAAATGTCATGCCAGCTGAGTCTCTTTGTTATATTTTGTTGTGAGCTGTTCTTCTTACCCCCCCTGCTGCAGGCCCTGGGCCCACTCAGGAGGAGATGCGGAGGAGAGTGGAGAACGGCGTTAAGGAGTTCTGGTACTTTGTTCGCAGTGAGGTGAAGAAATTGGCCAACGTTGAGCCCAGCGAGAGGCAGAAGTACGCAGACACGCTCCTGTTGGACCTGGGACACCAGGAGAGGTGGGCAAATAGTTGATTGGACTAGTGGGAAATAGTCACAAGAGGAAATGTCAAAGTGTTCCACAGGGATTTGAAGGAAACTATGAAAACCATGGCAAAGCTAACACTGGTGAAGGTCTAACAGACCTAGCTGGCGGGCCTTCCTGTGTGGAGTTTGCATCTTATTCTTATGTCTGCCAAGGTTTCCTCTCAGAGTCCAAAGTCATGCATGTTTTGAATATAAACCCTCCCAGTATAGTGGCCTGAAAACTTCTGAACAAGTCGTTATATTTCTGTAATGCTGTGAGTGTTGACGGTGATGTTCAGTCTCACAAATAAGGATCAAGGATTATGGTAGTTTATTTATCAATATACAACACAAGGTTGTCCCTTCATGCTACACACACATAACTTAACATATAAAAAATGTATATTAAAATATGGTGACATATAATAGTAAATAAAATGAAATAAAACAATAAATACTACAGTTCTTTATGTACATATATATAGGGATGGGAATTGATAAGATTTTAATGATTCCGATTCCATTATCGATATTGCTTATCGATCCGATTCCTTATCGATTCTCATTGGGTGAGGAAATAAGTACAAGTTTGTTTGTTTGTATTAACTCGCTTTAATTTCTGATCAGAAGACACAGCACAGAGTATACACAAATTATGTGTAACAACCTTAGAACAAGCCTAAAAGTAGGTGAGCTACTTCTCAAAGTAAAGTCCAGGGACCCTTAGCCTAGGGCAGTGTTTCTCAACCAGTATGCCATGGCACGCTAGTGTGTGTCTTGTAAGATTATCAAGAGTGCCTTAGGATTAGGAAATTGTTAATTTTCACATTAATTGGTCCAGACAAAAAAAATAATGTTTGGCTTTTTATGCCCAACTGCCATTTTGTGCCATAAAAACTAAAAACACAGACTGAAAACAGTCAAGGAAGAGCTTGTGCCTTTTGGAATATTAACTGTGCTCATTTGGACTCAACTTGAAACAAAATAGTAGTAGTGGTCTTGACTGAAACTAGTCCAACCATCTGCTGTGATGGCTGCATGTGTGACATGTTTCTCTTTTCAACCCCATACCAAGCAGGAATCAGATGATTTGTTAAACTGTCTCTGTTTGGGGCATTGTATTTTGGGTTGAGAGTCTTTATCATCTCCCTACAGAAAATATAAGGTAGGACTAGGAATAAATAAAACAACTATACTGACATAAAAACATGAAACGTTGGTCATGCATTTGTTATTTTCATTTGAAAAGACATGCTGGACAAAATACAGCAAATTAACCTACCGAAATGCAGAGGCATCTACTGTGGCAAACGGGTGCAAACCCTTTACCACAAACTTAGTCACTGCTCGGTGACATTCGTTGATCCTAGCCTCGGTCATTTTGTTCTTCCCTGCCTCTGTGAACGGAGTAGCTAGAGGTGCACCAGAGCTACCTGCTGCAGCCTCTGAGCCAGCTAGACTCTGGCCGTCTTCATCATCATCTAAATTTGATGGACAATGACAATGATGAAATTATTCGTATAGTAAAGGTTTACACAATGAAATGGCGCTCACATTAACTAAGTAGACAGGGCCTGTCCTGCCTGGAGAGTTTAAAGTTACCTTCGGCATTAGTAACAGATGGCGTCCCGTTAGCTCCGCTGCCGCTTGACTCACTTGCGTCGCTAAGTAGTAGTGTATCAAACACGCGACAGTCCTGCAAATGAATTGCATGCTGTGTGGCCAAATGTTTCTGCATATTGGCGGTAGTTCCCCCCTTTGACGAAATGGAAACTTTACAAGTGTTGCAAATGACCGTATTGTCGTCTTTTCGCGTGAAATATAACCAAACTTTAGAGCGCTTCTGCCTCGATGCCATGTTTGCTGCGTTCTGAACCAAAACAACGCAGCGCGTGTGTGACGTCATGACGCATTTGCCACGAGCGGAACCGATAAGTAGAATCGATAAGCAGGCGTGCTAACGGTTCCAAGGAATTGATTCACTGGGCACCGGTTCCGAAGAAGAACCGGTTCTCGATTCCCATCCCTACATATATACATACACATATACACCCAGAACATGCAGCAGTGCATTTTTTGAATTTGCGTCTGGGGAGAATGTAAACAGCAGCAGCAAGATGATAATATGGTTCTCATCTTCACATATAAAGTCTGATATTTTGGAAACCGTGTCCATCTTGATTGTGTTTGAGCACCAAGCATCATCGACGTAAAACACAGAGCACAGTCCGCCCTACGTATGCTTGGTCGAGGAATCTGTAAAGATGTGAGCACAACAGTCTCTGGTTTCCCAATACTTGCCAACCTGAGTCCTATTTTATGCAGACCGGACCTTTAGAAGCCTTAAGTCCTAGCTAGGCCAGCATGGCTCCTATCCCGGCTCTCTTTCCGCTCCTCTGGGCAATCACCGCTCCCGCTGTGCTGCCTGATCCGGTGGATATTGATGGGTGGATCATCTAAGGCCCCCTGCTCTTTAATTCAGTATCTCTATCCAATATTTAATACAATATTTATAACTCATATATAGGTCTTTGACTCCATTGGCATTTACTGATATTACTGAGCAACAGATATATTCGTAGCACAGATTATCAAACCATCAAGTACCAAAAGTACTTGCTTTGTTTGATTGGTAATTTTGTGTTGGCAAAATTCTTGTTTAGACAAAATGTAACATTTAGGAGCCTCTTTCGTTATATGACAAAAGTGTTGATATTTCTAAAAGTGATAACAAATAAATAAACAATTTTATCATTGATTTATCATTTAAGTAATTTTTGAAGCAAAAAGTGCCACCTTCTCAAAATCAGATGTTTTGCCATCTTAAAGACTAAACAACGTTACTTAAACAAAATAATCAACATTAATTGCTAATGAAAATAATCATTAGCAGAAGCACTAGGTGGGTAGATGTTAGTAGTGTTAATGGTCTTGTGCAATGGCTAAGTGTTCTCTCACTGTTTATTCTTTTGTAGATGCATTCAGATTAGAGACTCACATGCTGTTTTACTTGGATATTTGTAGGAGAACTTTGGAGCAGCACTTACAGTGGTTGCTGAGAAACAAAGGGCAAAGGTCATAAACACACCCTCTCTGTCGGATGGCCAGCTTCCACACAGTTGAAAGAGGAAAGTCCTTGTGTCACTTAGCCAAGTGGTTCATTGTAATCCAACTGAAGTGGCTTACAGGGCCCATTGTCTTAGTCATTGCTGCCTAAGCAGCTTTCCAAAGACTGATTCCTCAACCCGTCCACACAGACACACATATACATACACACATCACTTGCCGTCTAAGCCCCCCAGCTTTCTTTGTATGTGCACCAGCCAAAGGCTGGCAGAGCCCTGCGCAGATAGGGGCAAAGGTGGAAAGAGCAATGAAATGTATGACTGGAATAAATGCATGGGGGGGGGGGGGGGTAGTAACGTCCTTGTCTTAAACATGTCCCAAGTAAAATAAAAATGTAGCACATAAAACAAAAAGCATGCAATTAACTTACTAGCTCTCCCAATGAAAAGGATCACCACATTATGAAGAAGTTTATAGACACACGATGAAACGGTGTGAATGTTCTGCCAGGAAGTACAACCGTTCAAAGTTCAAATATCTGTAACAGGAAATGCTCACAATACTGGTGCCAGTGAATCAATAACATATACTGTGGGAAAACCCCATATTACAGGGTATCTTGATATGAGGTATATTAAACTAAACTAAAAGTTAGAAGGTACTTTAAGAGTTCTGGAAAAATGATAATTTATACTGGACCATGAGGTGGGATTTTTAAAAACAAAAATAATCATATAATCTTTATCTACTGATCTTAAGACCTGCAACTATCGATTAGTTTCATTATCGATTAGTCTACAAATCATTTTTTCAATTAATCATTTAAATCTACAATGCCCATCACAAGTTCCCGGATCTCATGGTGATGTTTTTAAATATCTATATTCAGTGTGCTGTCATATAAGAGATAGAAAACCAGAAATGGTCACATCTGAGAAGCTGAAAATCAGTGAATTTTGACTTTTTTGCTTATAGAATTAGTTTAATAAATAAAAATTGTTACAAATTAGTGTTGTGTCCTATCAATCAATCGACTAATCATTGCAGATCTAATCCACTTATACAACAAAGGAAAGTTAGTAAAGTATACAGATATTGAATTTGGCCAGAGAACAGTTACTGTTGTTTTAATGACTGCTGTTGAGATAATTACTACATATTACTACATGAGATATTTAGGCATGTGTAAATTGTATCACACAGTTCAAGCTGCAAACATTTGAAATGTGCGGCCAGAACTCATATCATGTAGTTAATGTCTTTAGAAAATAACAGCCTCATTACAACTGAAACTGAGATAAACAACCAAATATTTGTAGGAATGCTAATAGTACTAATATTAAGAATCCCAAAATCCCATTTTCAAAAACTGTGCAATATTAACATCTAAAGGTTACTGTGTAGTCACAGACTGTATATAAGAAGTGGACATAGTCATCGTGATGTCACCCATTTGTGAATGGCCGTTTTGAAGCCTCGAGTTTGGCCGATAGGGCGCCGTCATGTTGAGTTTTTGCAGCCAGCGGCACCGGATATGACCATATTTGGTAGAGACAGTGGAGCTAACGGCCGTGTGTGGAGCTAGCTAGCTTGCTTAGCTAGGTGCATCTGTAATTCACGTTAACTGTCATTTTAGCAGGGCTGACAATTTTGTCTAGAAAACAAAAGGCTTAAAACTAAATGTACTCACCAGAGAAAGTGAACAGCCAACTCCTAATAAGCTTTTTCAACAGTGCTGGTTAAATTTACATAGCGCAGCGCAGCATAGCATAGTCACTCTAGCCGGATTTACACGTCGACATGGTAACGACTTGTGAATCATAGATAATCCCACCCTGAAGCATAGTCTACTCTATGGTCTATTTTCCTCTAAATGGGACCATAATTTACTAAATGAACATCATGTTGTATTGAAGAAGACAGGAAACTAGTGATTGAGTCCATAAACTCATTTGCAAAGTGTTTACTGAGGTAATTATTAAGCTAGGAAGTAAGATCATTTTACCATTATTTCTATTGGAACCGGACTTCTTTTTGCAACCAGAAGAGTCGCCCCCTGCAGGCTGTTCAATAGAATGCAGGTTTAAGGGACTAAGCGTTAGCATCAGTTCTCTGACCGGAAGCCTCCCGCTTGTGTGTAACACTGCGCACTTAAACCACAAGATGGGTAGGACAGTATGGCTGAAGCTATCATGTTGTAAGTAGAGCAACGAAATGAAGGAAACTGAAAGTTAGGGATTCAGATTCAAGCTGTTTAAAATTACTGTTAGCGTTAAGTTCCCACCAAATAGCTCACATCATGGCAAAGAACAGCACTTTGTAGGTATTTTTGTCTTTCTTCCCTTTTACCAATGCTGTCTTACCTGGTGATTTCCAGGCTATAATGTATGTTTGAAACCTTGTAATTGCTCTGTCGTTGGTGCTGCATCAGTACTCAGAATAACTTTGCTCTGCTGCCAAGCCCAGTGGCTGCAGCCTCAATATATACCGTCTGAGCCGATCAGAAGCGCCGGGGAAGCCCACAAGCTTCACATATGCAACAAGACCGCACACTTTTATATACACACAAGGGCGTACCTGCCCCCCCCAAAAAAAATACATAGGGATGTCACGACTGCAGGGCTTTGTGGCTGTGCAGTGTTCCCCTGTCTTGCTGTCAAATCCCTCAGGGCTCGTCTGTTGATTCATTCTTGTTAAGTTTTGCGGGCAGCCAGGTTTGCTTTTCCTTCCCACAGAGGGTCGGTGATGGCTCCCCTGTGCGCTTCTGGAAGACAATTTGACATCCACTCACACAATATGGTTCCAGCTTCAATATGGTACAATGAGTAATGAGTCTGTCTTAGTTGTAGAGAAAGGCGCTGTTCACCCTGCCACACTGTTGATATGGGACATGGTATGTTTATCTGATTTGTGCGTGTGTCTTTATATGCACTACAGAATATGTGCATAAGGCCTCTCAGTCACACAGGATGTGACTGATTTGGGTCAAAGACATGAGTAATAAATTAAGCTTGCATAAGTGTGTGATGTGTTTGCATCTGCCCTTAGCTGCATATATCAGCGCTCTTGTTCATGTTGAAGTGGATGGTCATAATATTTGGCAGTGTGTGACATGGACATAAATTCGCTGTCAGAGGCATGCAGATGGAAGACTTAATCCAAAAAAGCGCTAAACATCCAGAAAGACGCTGTTGTCGTTAGCCAGTGTGACAAGGAACGAAGGTTTTTCTATAAATATCCTGAAAGCATGTTGAGCCTTTGTAATGTTTAACACACAGTAATCTGTTAACATTATGCTCTCTGGTGGATGTTCTTTTCCAAGCACCCTGATCTGAAATGAAGATGAGTAAGACTGGCATCCTATTTGGTCAACAAATAAGGTTGCAGAAAAGATATACAAGTATGTGTGCAAGTGCAGGAATTTTGGAGCCAATCTGAAATGGACCCCTGCAAAACCTACTGAACCTAACATGTGTGTGTATGTATATATGTGTATATATATGCGAGCAGAGGACAGTGCGGTTCAATCTCAGTAGACCTGATGATAATCAGGCTCGGTCCAAAATGCAGTTGACACCAAATAGAGAACACTGGCAGCAGTAACATGCTTCATATGTTAACAAGCAGCCGTGGTCAAAAAGTCTAGCGACATATGTACTTTTTCTCTTATGTACTGACCACATGATCAGAGCGGAGTACACTCTCAGAAACATTTTTCTATTCAATCTATGACTTTTTTAATCCAAATGCAGCATTCGCTTATGGATACAGTCTTATTTGTGATTGCGTGTGTGTGTGTGAGCGTATGGCTGAAAACCTCTGGATAGTTATTCATCATTGCTTTCAGTACACATACTGTGTTTAGTAGTTTCTCTCTAGTTTCCCAACCATTTTAATTGCATCATGAGCATGAACTTGTTTCTGAATCCTTGACACACTTTCTGAATGGCTGCTATGGGTATAGAGCGCTTTACAAAGCAAGGCGTGATAGAGTTGTTGATGTTAGATAAGGACATAAGGTCACATGTTTCATCATCAAGCCAAAGTAGTCCCTAATATGTTTATACTGAGTGGTACAATGTTGATGTGATACCCTAACAGCTTAAAGGTAGAAGTAGAGTAGGATTTTCCTAAAAAAAAAAAAAAACAATGTATAGACTCACAAACATACAAAATAATGTGTGTGGAGGTGTATGTGTCTACAGACACCCTGTCCTCTGCCTGTATTTTCTTAGTTTCTTCTTATTTTGCTATACTCTGGACGTTTCTGGGCGTCAACCTTTGGGCAGTGAGCAGCCCCTAGCCAATAACAGCATGCTGGGTGTGAGGTCAGGACTCTATAAAAAGGCAGCGAGCGGGCTACATCGCTGTATCCGTCTCTTTTCTCTGCTCTCTGCCTGGTCTGTGTGTCTGTTTGACCGAGGGCGCGGCTGAGCTCTTCATATACAGTCTATGGGCTGAGCTATACACACACAAACAGGCAGGGCAGAAAGGCCAAAGCAGACAGGATGACGTTGCACTCTGGCTGCATTCACACATAATCCTTGGGTGTGCAGAGGTGTGGGCATGTTTATTTGTGCTTTAGAACATAATTGCTGTGAAACAATCAGGAAACAACGTTTTATTTCACTTTTTCACTGCTTTGTCCACGCTAATGCTGCTCCCTCTCGTCATTCAAGGTACAAGGTGTACAACACAAGGTTGTATAACAAAAAGAAAGTTTGTAGTGTCATCATCATGGAACACACAAAGTACTTAACAGATAATTAATTAAAATATGGTAACATATAAAGTAAGTAGAATAAAATAAAACAATATATAGTTATTTATATACGTTTAAACCCAGATCGCTCTGCTCTGTGTTTTTTGAATTAATAAGGTTTCATTTTCACATTAAAAAGTCTGACATTTGGGAAACGGTGTCCATCTTGACTGTGTTTGAGCTCCAAGCATCATCGATATAAAACACCTCCTCTCATTTTGCCGGAGTCTTGCTCTCTCTCTGTCAGCTCAGAACATGGCCCACCCAGAGAGTGCTTAATCCGGGATGTTGATGAGCAGGTCTCTGTAAAGATGTGGATGCAGAAGTCTCTGATTTTGGTTGCTTGGCCGACCTGAGTCCCATTTTGTTCAGACTGGGCCTTTAGTTGGAGCCTTAAGTCCAAGCTCGACCACCATGGCTATCACTCTCTTTCCTCTCCTCTGAGCGATCACCCCACCTGTTGTGGTGCCTGGTCCGGTTGATCTGGCCGGTGGACAAGCTAAGGTCCACTGCTCTGTAATCCAAAACCCTGGCTTCCTTTTCCAGTGACTGTATTTCTGTCAAAGGTAGCAAGTGTTTCAGTGCTAAAGCCGGAAAAAACAAACCGCAACCGACAAATGCTACTCATTCTACGTTTAACTATTTAGCCAGATATTGTCATTGCTAATGAGGGGAAAAAGAGAAGTGTCTGTCCAGAAATGGGATGTTATGTTTAATTACAGTGTGTAAGAAAGGTTCTTAGCAACGGTTATTAAGTACCAACCTCTCTGAGATGCTGATTTGCTGTTTGAATGTGAACAAAGGCTATTTGTCCTTAAATGAGGCAGTCTGGGCAACATTCATAAATTTGATGAGAAGTGGTCTGCATTAAACACTGATGTCAAAGACAAAGTACTAATGACATACTGCTCTGACACATCTGAGAATATGCTGCTACATGTGCATTTTATTCCAAAAAAAATAGTTTGTAGCAATCAGTCAGCTCAATTTTTAAATAATTACAGTTTTGAAATGTGTATGTTGATGCAGGTCCATCATGACAGACTTGTACTACCTCAGCCAGGCGGACGGAGTAGGCGAGTGGAGAATGAAAGAAGCTAAAGACCTGTCGGATCTGGTCCAGAACAGAATCACCTACCTACAGGTATCTATAGACACACCTGCTGCTTAGTCACCTGGCCTTGTACTCTCCCTCACTCTCTCACACACACACACACACACACACACACACACACACACACACACACACACACAGTCATGTACTCACCCACATGTAGACACAAATACGTGGTAAGCATTTATGCGAATGTTTCCTTCACACATATTCCTCACATATGCGTTTTTGAGGACATCTTTCACACTTGCTCGTCTCATTTGCACCATCTATAACTGTCAACATCAGTTTCCATGAGGAGTAGGTAAGGAGTATGATAGCAGACTGTTTCAGCAGTCAGATCTGACAAGCAGGATCCCTGTTGTTTGTCAGCGGTTTAGTGACACACACACATGCACGTCGCACACACATGCAAAACACATGCAGATTTGCAAAATGACAAATCGGCAGACACGCATATGCAGAAATACAAAAAAGTCTAAGCGGTACAAAGGCAGACACAAACACACATATTTACTTAGACTAATGTAAATGCGCATATGCTTACAGATCCACATACCCATGCACAGCCTGAGACCCATGACACATCCACTCAGCCCCAGCCACCCCGCTCCCCTTACCCAGCTCTGGTGCTGCCTGGTTCTCGGGTGGGGCGGTGTGCCGTGGCACCAGGCCCTGCAGCATTAATGAGCCGGTGTGTTTGATGAAGAGGACCCAGTCAGTCTGGCTGGGCGGAGACAGCACCACTAACAGCTGCTGTCACCACCGCTGAGGGATCACACCGCTCCACCAGCTGCCATCACTAATTCATCACACACACACACACACAGTACAGATGGATTCACCTACACCTATGCAAGCAATTGCCGCACGCACACACACACACACACACACACACACGCTCAGCCACAAGATTGATGCACTCGTTCGCAAAGAGATGCCCTGTGTGTGTCTCTTGCTATCTCTCTCACACACGCTCACACATCTATATGTACACACACAGACAGACTCCTCCCCCAAATCCCACTCTCTCTGCCACCCGCACCAGACTCTCCCTTCATTCCTGGTTTAACTAACTCCATCTCTGCATCTGCTCCATCTGTCCACTCATAACATTCAGTGAACATGGCTGGCTTCTTCAGATGGATTTCTGCTGGACATTCTCATCTATTTTTACACTACGAACCTTGAAATATTAATTGGTAATGAGCAAGATCATGTTTTTGATCTTTGCCATTTCTGCACTGCGTTTCCCAGAGATCACTTGTCAGTCAACAAGCGTGTCCAGTATCTTTTAAAATTCATTATCCTTAAAGCAGTTATAATCAGTATTTTTATATGAACACAGGGTTCCTGCAGATCCTTAAAAAGTCTTAAAAGACATTGAATTAATTAATTAGAAAATAATTTTTTAAGTAATTTTCTGAATGCCCTTGCATTAATGTCACACAGATCAGGATAGCAGAACCAACGAACACTTGTTTTGTGTGTTCGCAGACTAGGGTTGGACGATCTATTTCCTTATCGTCTGATCATGGCTTCTTGAGATCACCAATTGGCAATCTGATCGCCAGGGAGCAGGGCAGCAAATCATTGAACTGCCAGCATGGGAGAAACAGGCTTCTTAGCTTTAAGAGAAACCACCAGAAACATCTGTAAAGGCACAGTGCAGTGTCCCACATAATTACCACGCGGCGTCGAAGGAGAGTGCAATCAATAGCAGCTTTGCATAGTGTGTCAACCTTGACAACCCAGCTGTATTCAACGTTAACATACCGTCTCCGACATTGACAGCGTTGTGTTAAGAAAAGGGATTAACTATCTTCTCAGAGTTAACTTCAATGCATTAGTTTTTCTATAAACACACTGTTTCAATGTGTTTGTGAGAGAGAGAGGGAGCCAGCAAGCGGAGGTGGTGAGTGAAGCTATGCGCAGCTCCACGATGAATTATTATTTTACTCATATTAAATAGTATGTGGTGGTCAGCGTTGATATTGTGGAGTGTCCTGTCACCACAAATAAATCAATGACTAGGAAACACTGCAGTGGGGTGCTTAGTTCTGAAAGTGAGTTAGTTAAAATCGCCTTAATATCGGTGCATGAAAAACCAACCATCCCTTCGATCGTCGCTAAGCGATCCAATTGCCAATCGGACCAACCCTATCGCAGACACAGAAAGTGGACGTACTGCGGAGTCTGAACACTGTGACAATAAAACAATCATACAAGTCAAATAAGGGAGTAGGAGACATACTCGCGCAATGTTCCAAAAAAGTCATGTTTTATGTTACAATAATCATGTGGGCAAAATTGATCAGTTCATGTTTTTTTTGTCTTCTATTTTGGTTATTGTGAAATTGGTCTTAAATTTCATTCCGAGCATCATTAAAAAAGTCTTAAATCTAACTTGCCTTAAGGCGTAGGATCCCTGTAACAATAGAGCACACAGCTACATGTATATGAACCTTTGTTAAAATGTTGTTTCTGCATTATATGACTGCACTGGCTTTGTTTTTTCAGCATCTCGTCCAGTGCGTACATGCATCCTTTTCTGTGAATACCTTGTTTGTAGTTACATAATTTGAATCCAGCGGCGGGAAAGGCAAACAATGAAATCTGCTTTACCAAGAGGCAGCATTAAATAGTACACAAAATGGAGTTTGATATAATAAAAAACTTGATGAAATGATAAAAACTTTAACGTGTGCAAAAATCTCAATGAGTTGTATATAATCTGCTGGTGACAGAGAAGCAAAATAGACATTTACCTATACAAAATGTAGTGAAGTCTTACTTCAGACTTAAAGTGTGCGCAACTTACTTTCATCATCCACCACGGTTTTTTAATGTGGGCACCACATACTATTTCTCATATCCAGTTGTTCTCAGCCTTGTTCCCTACATAAACACATGTCACTGTGGTCTCCTTGAACTGAATCATTGTGCAACTGCCTCTGTGTTTTGCAAAAAAACCCCCACACCATTTAAACAGGCACTTAACCTACAGTAAAGAGCGGCACTCAGAGCCTGGCTTTGTGCATACATCTGCCATCATTATTCTTGAACCTGAGTCTCTCAGCGATTCGGAGGCTTTCTAGCCTCATCATCATCAACCCAGGATCTAATGGTGGCCTGCACACCACATGTCACACATTGCTTTCATGCAGATATTGTGGCTTAGATCTCTGCAGAATAGTGTTAGGCAAGTTTTTTGTCAAGACACTACTCTAAATTATTAGGAAGGTGAGTTAGCTTACACCTGTGGGGCTAGTAGTGAACCAGCAGCCTGTAACTCAGAGGAAATACCTGTGTGGCTTGTTCTGTCAGCTCGATGGCTGCTGTACTCTGTTATGTTATTGAACAGCAGTGGTGGTAATCAGTTTTCAGCACCTAAAGGAGCCCCTCCTCTCCTCTCTCCTTTTTTTTCTTATTTCCTCTCCTTGCCCCTCTTTTTCTATTGCCTCCTGTCCTCTTTCTCATTTCTTCTCCACTTGTTTTTTATCCTCTCATCTCTTTTACCTCCTCGCTTCCTTCTCCTTTCCTCCCCCTCCCTCTCTTCCTCCTCCTCCTCCTGCTAGTGTGTGATAGGCAGCGTTAGCCGTTGGGTGCCGTGCGGCCTGATTACTGTGAACCATCCACAGCTGCAGCAGCCTAATGAGGAAAACACTCCCATCAGCCGGTAATTGCTGTTTAGGAAGCTGGTTGGCACGAGCATTGCGGAGTCGCTCAGACCGGCTGCCGGCGACTCATCGACAACACAGCATGTGTCACTCTGTTGGTTTCCTTTTTTTTCCTCTTTTTTTAACGCAGAAAAAAGAAATCCTTGTTTTTTTCCCCAGCGCCTCTCATTCAGTATTCTTCCCCTCAGACTTTGTATGCAATTGAAGCTAATTTATGAGACGGTAGGGTAGGAAAAAGGAGTAGGGGGGAGTATCAAAGAAAAAGGGGTATGAGGAAAGAGACTGGTAAGAAAATAAGGGGAAGAGAGAGAGTGAGCGGAAAGGGAAAAATAATGAAAAGGACATGGAGCAAAAAATGGGCAGTGAAAAGTAAAGGAATGAGAGAACACAAGAGCAACAAAAGAGAAACGAAGGAGGAAGAGATATGAAGGGATAAGGCTGGTGGGATTCTATATTGTTCTTATTGTCAACAAATCCCCAGGAAAGACCCAATGAGTTACACATATGAGTACATATGTCAATATTTCCCACCATCCCCTGTTGTTGACTACACAGACAATGCTAAAATATAAAATATTACCAGTTTTATCCCTTAACAATAAGAAGGAACAAGGAAGAAAAAACAGATGGAAAAAGTTAGTTAGGTTATCATGGAGATAGAAGAAGAGAAAAATTGTAAATTAGAGCCAAGTGGAGAATGAGATAGACAGGCAAAAAGGGAACAATGAAAATAATATCAGCCACATGTTATTACAAGTCAGAGATCACGGCTTTGAGAGATACAAGACGAAGGTCAAGCAATAAAAAAATGTTGAAACATTCCTTCTTCTCCTCCTCACAGAACCCCCCAGACTGCAGCAAGGCGAGAAAGCTGGTGTGTAACATCAATAAGGGCTGTGGTTATGGCTGCCAGCTCCACCATGTTGTCTACTGCTTCATGATCGCTTATGGCACCCAGCGCACGCTCATCCTGGAGTCCCACAACTGGCGCTACGCCCCCGGTGGCTGGGAGACCGTCTTCCTGCCTGTTAGTAACACCTGCACCGACCGCTCTGGGGCCACCACCGGACACTGGTCTGGTAGGTACACACATACAGCACCACTGTGAGCTACACACACATCTAAGCCAATGCAACTGCAACAATTGTGATTGGTTTGCTTAAAAATCCAATAACTCTCGCCTTTTATTTTGACAATCCCAGCTAAAAAATAGGGTCTGCCAGACCCCTTCTTTTGTGCTGCCACAGCGAAAACAAAGTGTGAATTCCCTGGCTAAGCAGGACTAAAGCACTTTGGCAGCCAATGTAGCAGCAGCAGGTTATTGTTCAAAGGTTTCATTGCCAAGAATTCCTGTGACTTGATCTAGTAAACAACCTGCTTCTCTGACCTGCAGTAAGTTAATAGAGACAGAGATTGTAGGGGATCATTTTTGCAGAAGTGTTCATGATCATTGTTCTTTAACTCAGGGTCCATGCACCGTTTTGATGCATAATTTCTTGTACGCTGAGAATATCTTTCAGAAATTAATTTCAGCATTTATAGCAAATTTATGGTGTTAACTGAGGAAGACAAGGTAGATTTATTTAATTTTAAATTAAGTTGTAGTTCCCCTTTATGCTACACACAAAAGGCAAACGATCTATGCAAAAAAGACACACACTAGATGGGTGGATGAATAACACGTCACAGAAATAAAACTATTTTACCTGGTACAGTGCCGAGGATGAATTAGGAAGTCTCACAGCCTGGGGGAAGAAGCTGCTCTGGAGTCTGGTGGTGCGACAGCAGATACTTCTGTATCTCTTGCCAGACGGCAGCAGGGTCAGAAAGCTGTGACTGGGTGGGTGCTGTCTTTTAGGATCCTCTGAGCTCTGCATAGGTACCTCACCACACTGAAATCACTGAATCTTGGTAGATGGGTACCAAGGATCTTCTGAGTGGTTTTAATCACCCGCTGCAGAGCCCTCCAATCCTAGGCTGTGCACCTCCCATACCAGTTTGTGATGTTTCCAGTCAGGATACTTTCAATTGCTTCTCTGTAAAAGCTAATAAGAACTTGGCACCGGGATTTTGCCTTCTTAAGTTTCCTTACGAAATACAGCTGTTTCTGAGCTTTCTTTAACAGTGTGGAAATGTGATCATATCAGGTTCTGCATGATTCTGATTCTTGCATGCTGTATATATGCATTTGTTGTTGTTACATTACCATGAAAATAGCAAGTCTCCAGCTTTGTCAACACAGCCAAACATCAAGTGCAACAACACAGGACATCATAATGTTATCAGCAATATTACTAGTTAATGTTAGTCCAACTTTGTACACAGACAGACTGCCAGCCCGGCGTATTTCTCGCAGCCATTTATGTCATGAACCTCGCTTGGTCGCTTTCTTCTTAGCTGACTCTGTCACCGTCCTCTTCTGTATTTTAGCCTCTGCCATTAGCTAATATTATGTACATAGAAGCTGCTGAGCCCGGTTATGTTTCCCACTTTCCCGGGTCCGGCTCGACACCCCCATCGCTCTCTCCAGCAGCATAATGTTGCTTAAACTTGGGTGGCAAGCTAGCCAACAAAGCTAGGCCCCAACCAATGCAAGAGTGCTTACAGTTAATTTACCGATGTCCGAGTGTGTTATCTAGTAAGTTTGCTGACATCAACTCAAAATTTATAGCTAGGGGCTGAACCTCTGTCTGTGAAACCGCTGGCCAACACACACAAACATCAAGCAAACACAACACAAGCCAGCCAACCAGCTAATAAGTCATTACTTACCAGTCCAACACAAAGAAGACCAGCTCGGCATCTGTCCTGCATCCTTTTAGCTTTTCGCTCATGCCAACGAGTAAAAGCCAGCCTGATATTAGCCTTGTTTCCATCCAATTGTCATGTGAATTTTAAGCGTACTTTTGAAATGTCGCAAAAAGAAATTGCAAAATAAGTGCGTTTCCATCTGCTGGTTTGGCGCGAAAAAAACAGGCTATGGCAAGCGTAATAACGTCAGTAGCTGACGTTACACATGGCTGTAATAAACAAGACGTATTGATTCCAAACCAGAAACAAAACCTTGCATGAATCTGATGGCCACTGATCTTAGAAAAATGGAGAGAGGTCCTCAGGAATGTGTTTCAAATCAGGCAAGTTGCCAGCCATGTCTCAGCACGATATGGGAATATCCGGTGTTATGCCAAGTTTTGCATGCCTGCCGAGAATTGTATGCACCTCAAAATAATGCTTTTAAACGCTATAATATCCTTTATGGGGTTCATCAATGGTGATAAATGAATGAACGTTTAGAGTCGTTAATATTTTATTACACTCAGTAGAAGTGGCATTCATTGAGATTCAGCAAAAATATGCAGTGATAACCCCCGTCAGTGTGCAGGATAAAGTATCTGAGAAGGAGCTTTAAGAGGTGAACGCGTAATTCGGCAGAACAGCTGATGAAGGCTACCTGCCGAGATTTGCATCCACCTCTTTTCTCAGCACAAATGAGCGTTACCAGCCGCAAGGTGCATGAAATTCTCGGCAGGCATGCACAACTCTGCACAACGGTGCAAGATGCCGACAGCAGAGACAGCTGATCAGTCCTGAGTTACAAGTTCACTACATCAGAACTTATTCGGAAAAAGTGTTTCCATCTCCCATTTAGCGCATTTAATCTTTTTCGACAAAGGCAAAAACCACCTCAAGCAAGCGTAAAAACTTTTTAGCAAAATTAAGAATTTTTTTCAAATTTTGATGTTTCCATCAACCTTTTCTAATGCGATACTTCAAAATGCGCATTAAAAAATGTTGATGGAAACACGGCTGCTCTTGTCTGGTCGCCTGCTCCGGCACACTCTCTTTTTCTCTTCCTCTCTTTCTCCAATCCAGATTGATCTCTAGTTTGTAGTACACAGCTAGGGATTTACACATAGTAGCTGTGTTTCCATCAACATGTTTTATGCGCATTTTAATGTATCGCATTAGAAAAGATTGATGGAAACAGCAAAATTAGGAAAAAAAACTTAATTTCGCAAAAAAGTTTTTACGCTCGCTTGAGGTGGTTTTTGCCTTTGTTGAAAAACTGTTAATGTGCAAAATAGGAGATGGAAATACTTTTGCCAAATAAGTCCTGACAGAGCGCACTTGAAACTCGAGGAGACGTGGCTGGTAGCAGTTTGCCCGCTTGAAACACATTCCTGAGGACCTCTCTCCATTTTTCTGAGATCAATGGCCCTCAGGACCATGCGACAGGTTCTGTTTCTGGTTTGGAACCCATACGTCTTGATTATTACAGCCATGTGTAACGTCAATTACCAACGTAACTACGCTTGCTGTAGCCTGGTTTATTCGCTCCAAACCAGCTGATGGAAACTCACATATTTTGCATTTACTTTTTTTTCAACATATGGGCAGCACGGTGACATAGTGGATAGCACTGTGGCCTCACAGCAAGAAGGTCCTGGGTTCAAACCCTGGCTTTTCAGTGTGAAGTTTGCATGTTCTCCCCGTGTCTGCGTTTCCTTCAGGTGCTCCCGTTTTCTCCACCATCACAAAAAAAACATGTTAGGTAGTCTCCAGTCAGTTTCGTTTGACCAGACACTACATTTCAATCTGGAGCTGGTCCCCAGGCTCTGTAAAGTGGCTGCCCACTGCTCCCTTAGGGATGGGTTAAATGCAGATGATGAATTTCACTACATGTAAATGAAAAATAAAGTACCTTTATTTCAAAAGTCTGCTTAAAATTCGCATAACAATTAGATGAAAACATGGCTATTCACTCTCAGAAGGAGTCTTCTGACATCAGCTGTGGATACTGATAAGAGTGCATGTGTTTCACAGTTGCAGCCCCAGATTGTGGCACAGACTGACTAAACGGTCCTATATATTCACATTGAAAGCTTGTCATGTGCAATGTAAATATTTCCCTGTCAAAAATCCACTGACATCAGTATTTAATCTAGTGTTGAATGTGAAAATTGGGCTTTTCTTAACAAATGTAAATCGAGGTAGTATTATGCTCATTTTCAGGTTCAAAATCCTATTTAGGAGTTGTACCAGAACAGGTTTACATGGTTTAATTTTCAAAAAACACCATATTTTTTGTCATACTGCACATTGCTGCAGCTCCTCTTTTCACCCTGTGTTGAACGCTTCATTTTAGCTATGGAGTGATACATCTTGTCTCTAAATGATCTTTGTTGGGAGTTGCACATGCACAGTTCCTAGTTAAGGACTACTAGCTAATCAGAAGTAGAGAAGGGCAGGTCAGTGAGAAGCCCGTAAACAGGGCTTTGATTCAGCTGTAGGCTACATGTTGCTGACCAGCTTGGCAACATGGACTGGAGCAAGAGTTTCAGAGTTGTGAGTTATTAATCTGTAACAAAAGTATCTTTCATCCATAAAGTTTTAACTGAGCTCTGTCTCTACATCACAGTAACAACTTTATGTCCATTGACTGCCTGGAGAGTAACGTTAGCTAGATTACTACACCCAAGGTACCTGGCCATGGCTGTAGACTATTTTTCTTATTATTTAGGTATGTTATTAGAATTCTGCACCAGTCATAGACTGTCCATAATGAACACCATGTTAAAGAATAAGGTAGTTCAGATGTGTACCTTGTGCCAGAATACCTTAAACCAAAGATCAATGTGCTTGTTTGGGGTAAATGGATCTTCCTACTAATATAGAGGTAGCACATCCATTTATAAAGGAGATTGCGTAGAGGCATGAATTATAATTGTGATTTTAATATGATAAATGGGGACTCTTACAGTATGAGTGTGTTTGCCTCCGCTAAGTTGACAAAACCAAAGCATTTGTAAATGAAGATGAGTGATTTGGAGGTTTTAATATGAGACTGCGACTCACCCTCTCTATCCTTTTCTTTCTCATTGCTTTCTTGTTCTCATTGCTGCATCGTATCAGCTCTTTATTTTTCTCCTATCGCTTCATTTGACTTGTGCTCTCCTGGGCTCTCCCTCCTTATCTCCTGCTCTCCCAGCGCCTTCCTTCTCTTATTCTCCTGCCTTTCATGTGTCCTTTTCCACTATCTAATGTCTGTCTCTGGTGTCTGTCTTATAAACACCCTCCT